GGCTGGGGGCGCGGCGCTCCGGGATTCCCACCACCAGGGCCGGCGCACCTACCTCGCACTTGGGTGGCAGCTGCGGGCCGCAGTCGGAGCGGTTGTGGCCGCCCTGTCCCCCCAGCGGGTCTCCGTCGAGGGCAGCGGCTCCCCGCAGCCGCCCGTCTGAGGGGATACGTGGCGTGAGCGGGCAGGGGAGGCACCCGGGACCCCCGGGCTCACCCACCCGCTCGCGGCCCTCACACCCCGGGTCCCCACCAAACAGGAAGAATCCGAGCAGCAGCAGCAGCAGCAGCAGGAGCAGCGCGGCGCCCAGCGCCCGGGGGCGCCTTCGGGGCAGCATGGCCGCGGGCCGGGGCGCTCAGGGCGGCGCGCGACCCCCCGCTGCCGGCTCCATCGCGGGCCCTGTGGGCAGAGGAGGAAGAGAGGAGGAGGCTCAGCCCCGGGCGGCGGGACCGACGGCCGCCCGCTCATCCCTCCCACGCTGCGTTGCCACCCTCACCTGCTCCAGCTGCTCCGGGGCCCGGGCCCTGCGCTCCCAGCAGCCGGCCCGGGAGCGGGACCCGGGAGGCGCGGGCCGGCCCCGCCCCCAACCTGGGTTCAGGTTTCACCTCCGCTCTGCTGAGCTCGAAGGGGCGGGGAGACCCTCGGGGAAGGAGCTGGCACCACCCACTGCCCCAGCCTCTGACGGCCCCCCAGCCTGCGAGGAGTCCCGGGGACCCCCTTTCTGGGCTGAGTTTCCCACCAAGACACGAGGAAGGTTGGAGGGCGCGGGAGCAGCGACCCAGGAAAACCCAGTCCTGGCTACCTGGCCTTACCCCATCCCCCTGCTCCCTGCTTTGGGGCCCCGTCTCCGCCCCCTAACGTCCCCGGGGGATGGGCCAGTGACCCCGGACCCGGGATCAAAGGGACAGCCGGAGCACAACCGGAGTGAGGGGGAGGCGACCGGAATGCTGGGCCGCGGGGATCGGGGACACCTGCTCTGGGGACGGGAGGCGGGGCTGGCTGAGACCTGCCTGCGAGCCAGCGAACACCTGGAGCCCTCGCCTTCCTCCCCCTACTCGCAGTCCAGGTGGCCCGGC